TCTCAAACAAGTTCAAGCAAGTGTTCTCCAAAGCACAGCAAAAAAAGCCTATAAAACTTCTCAAAATTTAACACCCAACACATGCCCCAGCATCACATGACTGATATATACGCACACGACTTTTTTAATCTTTCTTATTTTCTTTTATCTTACTTTTCTTTGTTTCTTTCTATCTATTTTACCAACCCTATTTTCGCACGCAATTTTAACCCTTCTAATAATTTATACGCGAAGGGATAAAATGAAGCATAAAATTAAATGAAAGGACTAGTAAAAATACTATATCAGCCAACGAAAATATTCATTTCCTACTCTTATAGCATCTCTGTCAAAAATATTCCTCCTCTTCGCCGTAAAAATCTGCTGGCGGCTCATCGAAGAAAAATTTTTTCGTCGTATGCTAATTCCGCATAACACTTGCGGCTCCGCCGCTCTAATGATAAAAGTAAGGGTTTTGTGGGCCTTTTTTGTTAGTATTGGTTAGTTATCTAGTTATCTATATAAGTATATATAGGAGTGTTATTTTATAATGACAAGGAACTTTACCAGGCCTTTGTGGTTGTGGTTAGTTAGATAACTATATATAAGAGACGATACGATACGGTAAGATACGATATAGGATAAAATATATATATGAAAATTGTGGTTACTAATGAGAAAGGCGGCACGGGTAAATCTACCTTGGCCTGTCTAATAGTAGAATATTTGAATTATAAAAATAAAAAAGTCCAATTAATAGATACCGACCCCATCCAAACTAGCCAAACCTGGGCTAATAATTGCCAAGAGGAAGGTCGGCTAATTTCTGCTAATCAGGCTACTTATCAGATTATAGACACAGCAGGAAGTTCAGGCTCGGCTCTTACCTGACTAGCCAATGCAGATTTAATATTAGTTCCTTTTCGCCCCCACTATGCCGACTTACAGACTACTATTACCTGATTTACTAGTTTAAAACCTAGTTGGCAGAGCAAAACTATTCTTATCCCTAATCATTGGCAGAATACCAAGGAGCAGCGAGAAGGATTAGAACAATTAAAAAAAATAATCCAAGAGGAAGGCCAAGGGAAAATTACTAATCCCCTCACTAACCGACCGGCCTTATATGGAACTTTGCTAAATGGCAGTAAAGATAATTTTTTTCAACAACCTAATTTACCAGGAGAAATTTGAGAACTTATGAAATTATTATGCGAACACTAAAAAAAAGTCCCAAAAAGAGCAATTTGTTATCAAAAAAGGACATACAATATGATACGATACAGGACAATACGATACGATATGAGACAGAAAGTAGAAAAATTACTTTTAGGTGCGATAGATATTTATTAGAGAAAATAAAAAATAGTTTAACTAGTCAGCATTTAGCAGGCAATTATGAATATCCTAATCTAAGTGCTTTTATCCGGGCTGCTTTTGGGTCTTATCAGAAAGGGATGCCTTTAACTTATCAGCGACAACCTAATAATCCTAAAAAAGAAATTTGCGTCCGATTAGGCGGAGAATTATTAACTTTTTATCAACGATTAGCCCCTAGCAGCAAAAATTTGATTTTAGAAAGAGCTTTAGGGTCTTATTATCAAAAGTTAAGTTAGAGGTAGAGTTAATAACAAGCAAAAAAAATACACAAGGCTTGGCGATATTTAATCTTCTCGACCGCAGCAACAAGAATTAAATAATCCCTCAGTAATCTTGCGACTAGGCAATATTTCGTCTATTTCCGGAAAATAAACATATCGACCTTCATTCTGCAATTCATATTTTTTCAATTGTTCAGGTTTAATATCCTTGCCTAATACTCCTCATTTAGTAAATAAACTGACGGGCATACTAATTTCTCGACCATCCTCTATTTGAGATACTAAATTGCCTCTGACTATTTGACAACTAACTACAAAAGGATGACGATGTTCCCAAGCCGCTATCGTTTCTGGGTTTTTTACTCTAATTTCTTCTAATCGTGTCATAATAAATTATTTTAAAAATTTCCATCTCATTCTACTCCTATGTTTTTTAACTGCTCTTTTACTTTTTCAATAATATCTCGGCAGTTGTCCTTAACAAATTTTCTTATTTTAGTTTTTTCTTCTTCGGTTACTTTGCCTCATTGTTTTATTATCCGACAATCTTTTAGATATATTTCTACTTCTCCAGTTTGCCCTTTGAAATGGAGATGTATTCAAGCAAAAGGTTTATTTTGAGGGGGAATGTATTCATCAGGGTAAAAGTAAATCCAATAGCCTCTAAACCTTCTTCTTTGGTCATTAAATATTTGAGCCATTAATAATAAGATTTTATTAGAAAGATTTTTAACTCAATTGCTTACTTAAAAATTCTTCCATCAGTTTTTTTCTTTCAGAAGGATTATTAGCAAAACTTTTTAATTCTCTATTGTCATAAACAAAAACATTATCATCACCAAAAAAACCTACTTGCTGGTAGCGGATTATTTTATACTTTTGATATTTTTCAGCCTCTTTCGAAAACTTAGTCGGTAATTCCCCCTTCACATAAATACAATCGCTGCGGATGGCGAGGACATTTTCTTTTTTAAATTGTCTATATAGGTGATAGGTTTGTAGAATAGCGAGGTGGTTAATCGCTACCATAAAAGGATGATAATGATAGCCACCAAAACTGCTTTTTCCTAAATATCCATAGAGAGCATTAGCCAAAATTTTGCCTCTTTTTTCATCCGTTTTTTTCAGTTCTTTACAATAATTAAGAAATTTATTTATACAACCTCTTTTTTCCTTAAATATTCACAGGTTTTTATAATAAATTTTAC